ACAAGTAGGAGTATAGTACACTAAAATTAGTTAATATCTTTTTCACATTGTCAGGAAGGCAAAAGCTTTTTCTGGAAGGGCCAGCCTTCCACTTGCCGAAAGGCCTGATTCTTGCAGACTATATATATATATATATATATATATATATATATATATATATATCGTACCTCCCATATATATATATATAGTGGATAGCAGCGGGATTGAGGATATATATATATATATATATATATGTATTCGATGAAAAAAGAACCTGCGCTATAGATGCGCATTTCAATTTAATCCAAATTGTTTATATATATACACGTTTGCGTCTGTATAATTGTTTTTTATATATATATATATATATATATATATATATATATATATATATATATATATATATATTAAAGACGTTTTATGTTTAACGTTCTTTTTTATAGATACAAGTATTTAAAAAAATGAAAATTTCTCGGACATTCAGGCCGGTAAATGTTATTTAATACTGTTTATTATAAACAGAGCATTTACTTAAATACTTGTATCTATAAAAAAAGAACGTTAAACATAAAAATGTCTTTAATAAATAAATTGTCGGACTTTGTCCATTTCTTAATATATATATATATATATATATCTAATAATCGTGAATAATAATACAGTAAAATCCCTCATATCCGGACATAATTTTGATGTGTATATTTGTATTATTTGGGTGATATGTAACTTGTCTGAACTTTCTGTTTTTTCAGGAAATTTACTTTAGATAATTGCTTATGCTTATTTCACCCTAATGGCTTGTATTGGTGTTTGATAGGAATAAGAGGAAAGGATGACAACAAGACACGTCTGCAACAAGATAGCAAGGAGATGCATGATTGTGACAAAACCTAGACTGAAATTGGAAAAGCTATTGAAAAGCTTGTCAGTTTTATGGAAAGAAAGCCAGCATTCAGCTAATATGATTGCAATAACACACACAGAAAAGCAAAACGAAATGCAGAAAAAGTTGAGAATGACATTAGAAGAGAAAGACTCATCATGCAACAGCGATTAAAAAATCTTTGTTACATTAATTGTTTTGCATAAGGGGCATACTTAATTTAATGAATTTTCATTAACATTACATAATGTTTTTTCCTTAAAATCAATTCCGTTATATTTCACTCATCGTTAGCTTATTTTGTTTATTATAAAACAATGAAAATAAATGTTAAACCTGATTTCAGTTCTTTTATTTTAATCTAAATATAACTCCACATATCCGGACTTTGTAACCAATTTCTCATATCCGGAAGGCCTTCTTAATCCGGTTGTCAGAGATTCTATTGTCTATTAAATTTTCAATGTCAAAAAAGAAAAAAAGTGGAGTAGAAAGTTGTAATCATATGCAATTCTCCACCATATAAGTAACAGTTCAACAGCTGGTGGCTGAACTAGTACAGACCTTGAAGATTAAACTTGAAGAGTTGGCAAAGTGTGATTTGTGCTTGTCTTTTATATATATATATACAGTAGAATCCCTCATATCCGGAATCCCTCATATATGAACCTGATTTTAATGTGTATATTTGAACTATTTAGGTGATATGTAACTGGTTTGAAATTAAAGAAATTTACTTTGGATAATTGCTTATGCTTATTTCACCCTTATGGCTTTTATTGGTGCAAAAGATGATGGGAATAAGAGAAAAAGAACAACATTAGAGTTATCGCAAAAAGTGGAAATTTTAAACAGACTAGACACTGGTGAAAGTTTATTGTAACTAATGACTGAGTTCAGCATAGGAAAGTCAACATTGTATGACAAAATCTTCCAAAGAAACTATTCTCCAGCGTTCACATTGTCACAATCAACAAGGAAATAAAAAGCATGATTGTGATGAAACCTGAACTGAAACTGAAAAAGCGATTGAAAAACCTTATTTTTGGTCTTTAAATACAAATTAAAATGAGTAATTAATGATAGACTTGATAATATCGTTACCTCATCATTTTGTATCATGAACTGTATTTTATGAGTGGTCTAGTTACGGCCTTCGATTTTCTACTGCTCTGAGATCAAGAACACAACGTGGGCAGAGACTGTTAGACATTTTGACGGTCGTCTTCGAGTATAGAATCCAGAGGTTCGCAGTGAATATCGCAGCAAAGTAGCAGAGTGTAGTTCTTCCGTCTGTCATGTTCGCCTGACAAGTTGGTTCTGGTCATTCCGGTAGGAAAACAAAGATGGCCGCCTTTATACACGACGGATACAGTGTTCTGCGGCTCCTGATTGGTTAATCTTCTATTGGTAGACTATAAAGGGAATTAAGCCATTTTGACTTGCTCACTAGTTACATACATATATACACAAAAAACTGTAACAGAGACGACGTACATAGAAGCGGCCAGCGACCAACAATCAGCTGGGACCAGCGTCAGCTTTGACCATCGCACAGTTAGACTCTGGTTAAAAGACCTTTTTACGTGGGTACCCATAGTATCATACCAAATGTAAATGTTTCACTCGGAGAGCTTTTTTACCAAGAAGTGCTACTTTGTGGAACAGACCCCCGCGTGTTTGCTTCCCCAAACATAGCAATCATTATCTCTTCAAATCAAAGGTCAATCGTTAGTATCAGCCTTATCCTCATTGTCATCGGATTCATTATAATTATTTTAACAGTAACTAGACCACCCAAACACCCGTCGGGTATCTTTTAAATGCAGTTCATGATACAAAATGATGAGTTGACAATATTATCAGTTCTATTGTAAATTACTCATTTTTGTTTGTATTTAAAGACTGTAAAAGAAGGTTTATTGCTCCAGTGGGATTCTTAGTCAACACGTGAAAATTTGTAGTAATAGCTTAAAACACGTATAGACTTTTTCAAAAAATAAGTATATTGTTTTTATTCATTCTTAATAATAAGTAAAAAATGTCCCCGTTAGAAAATGAAACGAAAAACGCCAAAAAACGCCTTAATGCAAATATATCTTGAGTTAAAATAGGAAAATAAATTATTTTTCGATATCAATAGATATATAATACCACCTGCTAACAAGATCACATCCTAGGTCACTTTCACCAATTAATGTAAAACTTTTCGCCGCCTACACCCGGTGGTGTAACCACGTTTAGTGGTCCGGTCCTCAGGGTTTTAAATCTAACTGTGCGCTGGTCAGTGCTGACGCTGGTCCCAGCTCATTGTTGGTCGTCTCTGTCCACGTTGTGTTCTTGATCTCAAGGCAGTAGAAAATCAAAGGCCGTAGTCTCGTAGCGCTGGTCCACCGTGACGGGTGCTATATAAAATAATATCTTCATGACGAGAAACAAAACGATAGATTCGCGGGCTTAATCTTCAATTTATGGCTCTTGGTATAACAAAATTAACCCTTCCCGCATCACTCTCTCTAGTGACGTTGAGCCTTGTCTAAACTTCTGGAAAGGTGTGTTCAAAGACTTGGAATCAAAAATTTCTGTTGCCTCTGACGTGGATTCCAGAGGAACTCTATGCGGCTTCTCAGTCTTATTCTATGAGCTCCCCAAGTCATCTGCTTACGTGCACTTCGGCCCAAAATTTGCGTGGAGCCAAAGAGTTCTTGGCATTCGTTGATTCTTTAATTTTCACATTAATTCTAATAAGGCCTTTCTTTGTTTCCTATTTCCGCTTTCTTAACTTTCCAAATTTGGAAAATTATCCACCTTCCTTGGCAGTGGTCACAGGGATTGCTTTTCTCTTAACTCCAACCTGCTTCACTTAATATCTCGCATCGCTACTCCAGATAGGCTAGACTAAACTCTGCCTCTTCCTCCTTCCTTCTCGGTATTCTAAAACTGCCCACTTCTCAGGGCGCATAACTGTCTTTGTGACAAATCTATTTTTTTAAATGCTTAGGAGAAAGGGCATGGTCCATTCTCTTCATTAATTTCAATTCTTTGACTCCTTTTGCACAAACAAAAAAACCTACTTAGCACGACATGATTGATCTCCATTACCTCAAGCCTAAGAAAAAGGGTTTGTTTCTTGTTTTCGCCAACGAAACTCATCTGCTTCTCTTTCCGTTAATAATGTGTTTTCTTAATTGATCCAGAAAGAGATAAACAAATTTCCCTTTTTTTTTTTCGTCAATGAAAATATATTTTTTTAACTAAATTCTCAACAAAAATATTCTCTGTTTTCCATCCCTGGGCCAGTCGCCGTCTCAGCCAAAACACAGGCCAGATCACCGGCTTGTTATGGCGAATCGATTTCTATAATTCTCTGTTTTCATTTCTCAGTTCGTTTTCGCTATATATATATATATATATATATATATATATATATATATATATATATATATATATATATAATTCTCATCTGCTTTTCTCCAGTGACATGTGTTTTCTTAATTT